TGTTTCTAACAATAAGTACAAACAAAAAGTTTAAATAAAAGGGGTTTCGAAAATTGGGGCTTTCAAAATTATGAATTGAAATCAGTGTAAAACGATTTTTTACCGTTCAAGTTCAAGCAGTAGAAAGTAACTCTCCCAAGCCGCCAAGAACCAAGGTCAGTTAATTCTTCCATCAAAGCATGATTAAATTAAAAGTCAACTCGTAAAATTAAAAGCAACAAAGGTCATGCAAAAAAAACACCAAGAAATCAAAATGTCAGTGACCTTTTCTGCCCCCATTTGCATGATAATGCGAACCTAAAATACGATAGTTTGGTTGAAAAAAACGAGGTAGATGATAGGACTTCATGGTGTAAACTTTGGTAATGAAAATGTAGAATGAAAATATCCAAATCAGGGATAATGATCGAAAAGATAATAAAAAATCAACAGTCAGGGGGTAGCATTGATCGTGTTGTCAGTTATTATGAGCTCGTGTATCAAAAGGGTGGCCTACTAATTAATTTCTGAGATTGCATAAAATCTTTGGATTGATTTTCTAAAAACACTTTGCTTAGTTTAATAACGGGTCTAATTTTTGTTGCACCATTTGGCAGCAGTAGTTTAACTGCACGCACCTTGTTATCATAGCTTTTGTATGTTTCATGTTTCCATGTTTCCATTGCAAGAGGCCATAAGCCGCAAGGATTGAAATCATCAAGTACCCACAAAAAATCATTGACAAGAATGTTTGGAGACGTGCGATTCTATTTAGTTTTTAGTTGTTATTGGTGAAGGTACTCTTTGAAGACTCTATTCCTGAATTGCCGTGATAAATTTTTTATTTTTGAGCAGTACGGCAAGACTTTGAAATTGTTATTTCTGAATCTAAGAACAATCGACGAGGAAAATTAGTTGTTATTCTACCTAGTAGAAAAGGATTTGCAGTCAGTGGTAGTGGGTCTTCAAAATCTGAGGGAACGCTAGTTAGGTGTCTGGAGTTCATGGAGGCTGCTCTTTTGCAGATAAACGTGTAGAAAGATTCGTCATTAAGCGTGTGGGATTCGATAATTTTGTAAAGAGAAAGCTTGAATATCTGAACCAAACGTTCCCAGCTACCGCCGAAACGTTGCGCCGCGTGGGGGACTAAATTTTCAGCCTATGATAAAGTCGGAAGCTTGGAGAGTATCTTTCAAATCTATCAGTAGAGTGAACGTCTTTTCCAGGGATTTGGTCGCCAATATGAAGTCTCTTTGTATATAGGTCTTATTTCTTTGGTTATCATAGCAAGATTAATCATATTTCCTTTGAGTATTCATATTTCCTTTAAATCCTTCTTTCTTTGTTCTGTATTTGTTTCCGTTGTATCTTCTTGTTTTATATATATTTCCAGAGTTGTATATCAATCAATTTTATATGAACAGAAACTGTTAAACTTAGAAGTATGAATTGATTGCCGGGCTTGCAGACAAGCTAGTAAGGGTTGAAAAAGTCTGAAAATGAAAAGGAAGAAGGTTTATAATTGAAACTGAATGATTGTTCCTAACAAAAAGTACAAACGAAAAAATTTAAAAAAAGGGGGTTTCGAAAAATTGGGGCTTTCAAAATTATGAATTGAAATCAGTGTAAAACGATTTTTTACCGTTCAAGTTCAAGCAGAAGAAAGTAACTCTCCCAAGCCGCCAAGAACCAATGTCAGTTAATTCTTACATCAAAGCATGATTAAATTAAAAGTCAACTCGTAAAATTAAAAGCAACAAAGGTCATGCAAAAAAAGTACCAAGAAATCAAAATGAAAGTGACCCTTTCCGCCCCCATTTGCACGATAATGCGAACCTAAAATATGATAATTTGGTTGAGAAAAACGAAGTAGATGATAGGTCTTTATGGTGTAAATTTTGATAATGAAAATTAGGAATGAAAATATCGAAATAAGGGATGATGATCTAAAAGATAATACAAAATGAACAGTCAGTGGGTAGCTTTGATCGTGTTGTCAGTTTTTATTAGCTAGTGTATCAAAAGGGTGGCCTACTAATTAATTTCTGAGATTGCATAAAATCTTTGGATTAATTTTCTAAAAAAAACTTTGCTTCGTTTAATAACAGGTCTAATTTTCGTTGCACCATTTGGCAGCAGCAGTTTAACTGCACGCACCTTGTTATCAGTGCTTTTTTATGTTTCCATGTTTCAATTGCAAGAGGCCATAAGCCGCGAGGAGTGAAAACATCAAGTACCCACAAAAATTATTGACAAGAATGTTTGGAGACGTGCGATTCTATTTAGTTCTTAGTTGTTATTGGTGAAGGTACTCTTCGAAATCTGAGGGAACGCTAGTTAGGTGTCTTGAGTTCATGGAGGCTTCTCCTTTGCAGATAAACGTGTAGAGTGATTCGTCATTTAGCGTGTGGGATTCGATAACTTTGTTTAGAGAAAGCTTGAATATCTGAACCAAACTTTCCCAGCTACCACCGAAACATTGCGCCGCGGGGGATTAAATTTCCAGCCTATGATAATTTCGCAAGCTTGGAGAGTATCATTCAAAATTATCAGCAGAGTGAACGTCTTTTCCAGGAATTTGGGCGCTAATGTGAAGTCTCTCTGTATACAAGTCTTATTTATTTGGTTATCATAGTGAGATTAATCATATTTCCTTTGTGTATTCATATTACTTATAAACCCTTCTTTCATTGTTTTGTGTATGTTTCCGTTTTATCTTCTTGTTTCATAAATATTTCTAGAGTTGTATATCAATCAAGTTGATATGAAAAGAAACATCAAACTTAGAACAATGAAATGGTCGCTGGGCTTGCAGAAAGACTAGTAAGGGTTGAAAAAGTCCAAAAATGAAAAAGAAGAGGAGATATAATCGAAATTAAATGATTTCTCTAACAATAATTACAAACAAAAAGTTTAAAATGGGGGGTTTTGAAAAATGGGGCTTTCAAAATTATGAATTGAAATTAGTGTAAAACGAAAGTTTTTATCGTTCAAGTTCAAGCAGTAGCAAATAGCTCTCCCAAGCCACCAAGAACCGAATTGAGTTGTTTCTTGCCATCAAAACATGATTAGAATAAAAGTCAACTCGTAAAAATAAAAGCAATAAAGGTCATGCAAAAAAAGAATTAACAAGAAATCAAAATGTCAGTACTTGACCCGCCCCCGTTTGCTTGATAATGCGAACCTAAAATACAAAAATTTGGTTGAGAAAAACGAAGCAGATGATAAGTCTTCATGGTGTAAACTTTGGTAATGAAAATGAAGAATGAAAATATCCAAATAAGGGACGGTGATCGAACAGATAATAAAAAATCAACAGTCAGGGGGCAGCATTGATCGTGTTGTCAGTCATTATTAGCTCGTGTATCGAAAGCGTGGCCTACTAATTAAATTCTGAGACTGCAAAAAATCTTTGAATTAAACTTCTAGAAAAACTTTGCTGAGTTTAATAACGGGTCTAATTTTTGTTGCACCATGTGGCCGCAGCAGTTTAACTGCACGCACATTGTTATCAATGCATTTGTATGTTTCCATGACTTCTGCAAAAGGCCACGCACATTGTTATCAGTGCCTTTGTATGTTTCCATGACTTTTGCAAAAGAGAGTATCTTCCAAAAATATCAGCAGAATGAACGTCTTTTCCAGGAATTTGGGCGCTAATGTGAAATCTCTCTGTATACAAGTCTTATTTATTTGGTTATCATAGTGAGATTAATCGTATTTTCTTTGTGTATTCATATTTCATATATACCCTTCTTTCATTGTTTTGTGTATGTTTCCGTTTTATCTTCTTGTTTCATAAATTTTTCTAGAGTTGTATATCAATCAAGTTGATATGAAAAAAAAACAGTCAAAATTAGAACTATGAAATGGTCGCCGGGCTTGCAGACAGACTAGTAATGGTTGAAAGAGTCCAAAAATGAAAAATAAGAAGGGATATAATTGAATATAAATGATTGTCCATAACAATAACTACAAACAAAAAGTTTTAAAATGGGGTTTTGAAATTTGGGGTTTTGATTATTATGAATTCAATTCAGTGTAAAAGCGAACTTTTTACCGTTCAAACTCAAGCAGTAGAAAGTAACTGTCTCCCAAGCGATCAAGAAACGAAATCAGTTGAATCTTGCCTGCAAAACGTGATAAAATTAAAAGTCAAACGGTAAAATTTAAGAGCAATAAAGATCAAGCAAAATAAGAAAAACGAAAACTGAAAATGTAAGTGACAAAAGGGTTATTCGAAAATTCAATGGTTTGCTATGTTGTTCGAGCAGTTTTGTTTGTTTGCTATGTGCATCAATGAAAAAGTTTCTAATAATATTGAAATTTTCCCGATTTGAAGAAAACGGATTGAATTTTATGTACAATCATGTGTGCAATTTGAAATTTTCCTGTTTTGAAAAAAAAGGATTGAATTTAATCTACAATCTCTTCCGGTGCTGTTTTATGGCAGCCATTTCTGACTAAATAAAGTTTAACAATTTTCTAAAGAAGCCAAATTACTTTCCTTGGCAATAACCTTCAAAAAAGAGGTCACAAACGATCTGTTTCTCAAACATTATGCCCTAAAACAGCAAGTTTTTCATAAGGGTTTTGACAGAGCTCGAAGTTTTCAAATTGGTTTTACTTAAAAACTATTGGATAGAATTATGAATCATTTTACTCATTAAGGCTCATTTCACACCTCGATGACAATATTGCTTTTTGGTAATCTTTGAAGCGGATGCTTTTTTGCAACATTTGCAAGAGAGATTGAAACAACTCAGAAAACATATCTTGTTCGAAGTTCATTCCAATCTTAAAATGGGCTATAATTCCTCGAATATCAAAACTTTGGGAAATTAGTGTTATCGAGCCAAATTTGAATTGAAATATTATACGACGCTAACACTAGATAAATTTTCCTGAATTCATCAAAACCATTTTTTCTTGTATGATTTAATTCACGCAAAGCTCAAAATTTGTTCAAAACTTTTGAAAAAATTTCAACCTATTTAGCGAAAACTTTCAAAAACTGCTTAATTAAAAATCGGCACTCCAATTTGAGTTGTTCACGTGGCTGTAGGTCAGCAGAATCAATTGTTGTGCTGAGATTTGGGTTGATGCGCTTTGTTTTTCTTCGCATGGAGACCTCTTTTTGGTTCGCCCTCCAGCGTCCAGACGAAGTCTCGATTGATGTTACATCTGGAAGTCCACGGTTTGATCAGACTTTGTCCTTTAATGCCAGTCCATTGAAGTATAGTGCTCTCAATCTTATCCATAGTCCAGGGATCCAAAATAGGGTTCTTAGCCAGAATCCACACAACCGATTCCGGCTTACGCTTCAGTCCCGACTTGGTCATGTGACACGAGTACAAGACAATGTAGCCGTCTTTCTGGTAGTCGAGCACCCTGACCTCGTAGGGCTCGTACCGTTTCTGGTCTGCGAAGTACAAGTGGAACGTTTGTCCCCCGTATTCGCCCTTGGAGATGAAACCGAACTGCTCATTGTCGCCAAAGAATAAATGATACGAAGCCTGTGAAAACTGGACTTGCTCGCCTAAAGGAACTCAATTGATATATAATTAGAATTTTATGGAAAGCGGCAACTTTCAGAAATTAAGGAAAGCAAGGTTTAAAGTTGATTAAAACGCGGCAATGGCTATTATTGATTGCTTGCTCTGCTTAGCTGCGCTGCGCCTACGTTTCGGCTCCAGAGGTACAGTGCGCGCGAAGTAGTGTTTGCCGCTAACATAGGTTGTTAAATTTGATAATTTGAAAAAAGTTGAATAACTTTATTCTGTTTTTGCGAGTTGTCGTTTTACACAAAGTTGGTGAATAGTCTATTTTCGCAATTTGTCTTTTTTGCGAGTTGTTCGACTCATGATTCGACTCCGTTCGACTCATGATTCGACCTTGTTGGACCCATGATTCGACCCTGTTCGACTCATGATTCGGCCCTGTTCGACTCATGATTCGACCGTGTTCGACCCATGATTCGACTTTGTTCGACGATAGTGTTCATTCGACCGTCTTAATTTGCGACGAAAATTGGACTCCGTTCGACCGTGTCGGTCGAAAATTGAGTCGAACACCTCAGACCGAGTTGGTCTGGAAAATTGCGCCGCGTTCGCCTTTGTCTGGAAATTGGCGTTGATCCCGCCTTGGTCTGGAAAGTCGCTCCGTCTCCGCCCTGGCCTAGAAAGCCGCGCCGTCTTCGCTTTGGTTGCACCCTCCCCGACTTGGTCGGGAAAACCGCGCCGTCTCCGCCTTAGTCTGAAAAGTCGCGCCTTCTCCGCCGTGGTGGCGAAGTCGCGTCATATCCGCCATGGTCGCGTCGCATCGGATTCAGACCCAAATTGCGTAGTCGCGCCGAGAGTTTGAGTCTGGAATGTCTGGACATAAGGTCTGAAAAATCTGGACATGAGTCGCACAAGGGTCGCGCCGCATCCGGATTTAGACCCAAATTGCACATTCGCGCCGATAGTTTGAGTCTGGAAAGTCTTGACATAAAGTCTGGAAAGTCTGGACGTGAGTCGCGCACGCACCAAGGGTCGCGCTGCATCCGGATTTAGACCCAAATTGCACAGTCGCGCCGAGAGTTTGAGTCTGGAATGTCTGGACATAAGGTCTGAAAATTCTGGACATGAGTCGCACCAAGGGTCGCGCCGCATCCGGATTTAGACCCAAATTGCACAGTCGCGCCGAGAGTTTGAGTCTGGAAAGTCTTGACATAAAGTCTGGAAAGCCTGGACGTGAGTCGCGCCAAGGGTCGCGCCGCCTCCGGTTTAGACCCAAATTGCGTAGTCGCGCCGAGAGTTTGAGTCTGGAATGTCTGGACATAAGGTCTGAAAATTCTGGACATGAGTCGCACCAAGGGTCGCGCCGCATCCGGATTTAGACCCAAATTGCACAGTCGCGCCGAGAGTTTGAGTCTGGAATGTCTGGACATAAGGTCTGAAAATTCTGGACATGAGTCGCACCAAGGGTCGCGCTGCATCCGGATTTAGACCCAAATTGCACAGTCGCGCCGAGAGTTTGAGTCTGGAATGTCTGGACATAAGGTCTGAAAATTCTGGACATGAGTCGCACCAAGGGTCGCGCCGCATCCGGATTTAGACCCAAATTGCACAGTCGCGCCGATAGTTTGAGTCTGGAAAGTCTTGACATAAAGTCTGGAAAGCCTGGACGTGAGTCGCGCCAAGGGTCGCGCCGCCTCCGGTTTAGACCCAAATTGCGTAGTCGCGCCGAGAGTTTGAGTCTGGAATGTCTGGTCATAAAGTCTGAAAATTCTGGACATGAGTCGCACCAATGGTCGCGCCGCATCCGGATTTAGACCCAAATTGCACAGTCGCGCCGAGAGTCTGAGTCTGGAATGTCTGGACATAAAGTCTGGAAAGTCTGGACGTGAGTCGCGCCAAGGGTCGCGCCGCCTCCGGTTTAGACCCAAATTGCGTAGTCGCGCCGAGAGTTTAAGTCTGGAATGTCTGGACATAAAGTCTGAAAATTCTGGACATGAGTCGCACCAAGGGTCGCGCCGCATCCGGATTTAGACCCAAATTGCACAGTCGCGCCGAGAGTTTGAGTCTGGAATGTCTGGACATAAGGTCTGAAAATTCTGGACATGAGTCGCACCAAGGGTCGCGCCGCATCCGGATTTAGACCCAAATTGCACAGTCGCGCCGAGAGTTTGAGTCTGGAAAGTCTTGACATAAAGTCTGGAAAGTCTGGACGTGAGTCGCGCCAAGGGTCGCGCCGCCTCCGGTTTAGACCCAAATTGCGTAGTCGCGCCGAGAGTTTGAGTCTGGAATGTCTGGACATAAGGTCTGAAAATTCTGGACATGAGTCGCACCAAGGGTCGCGCTGCATCCGGATTTAGACCCAAATTGCACAGTCGCGCCGAGAGTTTGAGTCTGGAATGTCTGGACATAAGGTCTGAAAATTCTGGACATGAGTCGCACCAAGGGTCGCGCCGCATCCGGATTTAGACCCAAATTGCACAGTCGCGCCGAGAGTTTGAGTCTGGAAAGTCTTGACATAAAGTCTGGAAAGTCTGGACAAGAGTCGCGCCAAGGGTCGCGCCGCCTCCGGTTTAGACCCAAATTGCGTAGTCGCGCCGAGAGTTTGAGTCTGGAATGTCTGGACATAAAGTCTGAAAATTCTGGACATGAGTCGCACCAAGGGTCGCGCCGCATCCGGATTTAGAACCAAATTGCACAGTCGCGCCGAGAGTTTGAGTCTGGAATGTCTGGACATAAGGTCTGAAAATTCTGGACATGAGTCGCACCAAGGGTCGCGCCGCATCCGGATTTAGACCCAAATTGCACAGTCGCGCCGAGATTTTGAGTCTGGAATGTCTGGACATAAGGTCTGAAAATTCTGGACATGAGTCGCACCAAGGTTCGCGCCGCATCCGGATTTAGACCCAAATTGAACAGTCGCGCCGAGAGTTTGAGTCTGGAAAGTCTTGACATAAAGTCTGGAAAGTCTGGACGTGAGTCGCGCCAAGGGTCGTGCCGCCTCCGGTTTAGACCCAAATTGCGTAGTCGCGCCGAGAGTTTGAGTCTGGAATGTCTGGACATAAGGTCTGAAAATTCTGGACATGAGTCGCACCAAGGGTCGCGCCGCATCCGGATTTAGACCCAAATTGCACAGTCGCGCCGAGAGTTTGAGTCTGGAATGTCTGGACATAAGGTCTGAAAATTCTGGACATGAGTCGCACCAAGGGTCGCGCTGCATCCGGATTTAGACCCAAATTGCACAGTCGCGCCGAGAGTTTGAGTCTGGAATGTCTGGACATAAGGTCTGAAAATTCTGGACATGAGTCGCACCAAGGGTCGCGCCGCATCCGGATTTAGACCCAAATTGCACAGTCGCGCCGAGAGTTTGAGTCTGGAAAGTCTTGACATAAAGTCTGGAAAGTCTGGATGTGAGTCGCGCCAAGGGTCGCGCCGCATCCGGATTCAGACCCAAATTGCGTAGTCGCGCCGAGAGTTTGAGTCTGGAATGTCTGGACATAAGGTCTGAAAATTCTGGACATGAGTCGCACCAAGGGTCGCGCCGCATCCGGATTTAGACCCAAATTGCACAGTCGCGCCGAGAGTTTGAGTCTGGAATGTCTGGACATAAGGTCTGAAAATTCTGGACATGAGTCGCACCAAGGGTCGCGCTGCATCCGGATTTAGACCCAAATTGGACAGTCGCGCCGAGAGTTTGAGTCTGGAATGTCTGGACATAAGGTCTGAAAATTCTGGACATGAGTCGCACCAAGGGTCGCGCCGCATCCGGATTTAGACCCAAATTGCACAGTCGCGCCGAGAGTTTGAGTCTGGAATGTCTGGACATAATGTCTGAAAATTCTGGACATGAGTCGCACCAAGGGTCGCGCCGCATCCGGATTTAGACCCAAATTGCACAGTCGCGCCGAGAGTTTGAGTCTGGAATGTCTTGACATAAGGTCTGAAAATTCTGGACATGAGTCGCACCAAGGGTCGCGCCGCATCCGGATTTAGACCCAAATTGCACAGTCGCGCCGAGAGTTTGAGTCTGGAAAGGCTTGACAGAAAGTCTGGAAAGTCTGGACGTGAGTCGCGCCAAGGGTCGCGCCGCCTCCGGTTTAGACCCAAATTGCGTAGTCGCGCCGAGAGTTTGAGTCTGGAATGTCTGGACATAAGGTCTGAAAATTCTGGACATGAGTCGCACCAAGGGTCGCGCTGCATCCGGATTTAGACCCAAATTGCACAGTCGCGCCGAGAGTTTGAGTCTGGAATGTCTGGACATAAGGTCTGAAAATTCTGGACATGAGTCGCACCAAGGGTCGCGCCGCATCCGGATTTAGACCCAAATTGCACCGTCGCGCCGAGAGTTTGAGTCTGGAAAGTCTGGACATAAGGTCTGGAAAGTCTGGACGTGAGTCGCGCCGCGTCAGGATTTAGACCGAAATTGCATAGTCGCGCGGATAGTTTGAGTCTGGAAAGTCCGGACATGAGTCGCGCTGTGGACCGAGAAACTCTGGACACATCAAAATTTGGTCGCTAAACTCTGGACATGGGTCGCGAAAGTCCGGACACAGATTTTTGCGACCCATGTGCAGACTTTCGCGACCAAATTTCGGTATGTCCAGACCTTCTCGGCCCACGGCGCGACTCATGTCCAGGCTTTCTAGACTCAAACTCTCGGCGCGGCTATGCAATTTGGCTCTAATTCTGGATGCGACGCTACCCTCAAAATCTGGACATGAGTCTGGGACCTCGACCCGGGAGCTGAAGTATCTATTTAATGGACGAAAACTAATTTGTAGTCAACTGGCAATCAAATGTATCAGAGTATCAAATAACAAATATATAACCACTTACTCCGCAAAAAACATGGATCAGCTTCTGGATTTAATTCCGATTACTGTGATAAAAATTGGCAAGCTGCGTGATTATGAGCTATTTCGAATATTCCGTTTTCACACATAAACCTTACAAAACAACTTGTTACACAAAAAAACGATGCTTAGTTAAGGGTTGGGTGGAAAGGGAGTGGGGGGGGGGGGGTAGAAGAGTTTGATTCCACTACCACTTGGAGTTTGAACAGCTGAGAAATCCAACAGTCCACACCTCTGCAACCTCTCTCTCTTGATTGGAGTGCGAACCACCTGGTACCACTTGCCCAGAAAGCTGTTCAGACTCACGTTCACATTGGGCCATCTGAGGTGAGTGCGACACTGTCTTAAGGCAGCCACTTCACTCACACCGAACACCAAAAAGAATAAGACAGAACTTAAAAGCTTCATTATGATCGGAAACCTAAAATGTTGAATCTGACATTTGCATGTTTGAAATGTAAAGTCAACAGCTTTTAAAGGTCATTGTCTAAATGATTGCCAGCAATTGATGAAAATATTAGTTCCTAATGTTTGTTAGGATGAGGTTAGTTGATACTAGCGGTAATATTTGCAATCAGTGACATAAAACAGATCTCCCTTTGAAAACTTTGAGCTGTTTATTTGAAGGGTGAAATCCCTTGCGACGGAGAGATCGAACAGTGGAGAGCTAGTTTTAACCATTCAGAATCGAGCATCATTCAAAAATCTTTGAGTATTCATAATTTAGTTCAACTCGTGGCTGCCGTGAACCAAGTCTGAACATCGGCAGTCGACATCTCGTTTTTGTATATAATATTAATATCATGAGCCGGTTGTTTTTCCAGTGGTTGAAGAGATAGACTGCTGATAATAGACTAGATATCCCTCGATGGTTTATTTCTTCTCTGAGTACATCCTGGGCCGATGTCTGCGGTTCATGTCGCGTTCATCGCCACTCAAAAAAGATATGTTGCAACCATCGCGTCTCAAAACGGGTATATTGCGGCTCAAGTGAAAACCCATGATTTTCTGTGTGACTTTGCACGTTCTTCAAAATATATACCAAACTGGTCATCAAACTCGAACGAAAGGAAACTTTGTTCGACCGTGTTCGACTCAACCGTTCTCGGAATTGACCGAATCGACGGAAACAGATTGAGTACAACAGTTTCAAACAAAGTTTGTGATGTTTCGACCATATTGACAAAAAAAACATGTTCTCGACAGCATTCGAATCGAGTAAAAAATGTTTAAGAAAACTTAGAGTTCTTGAATCACTTGATTTTTTCAAAACTATACTTTTTCAAATTCTTTTGTTACCATAAACTATTCGAGACCAATTTAAGGGCAGTCGTATTTTTCGGGGCTTTGTTCTGTTTATAGAGCTGTCTTGATTAAGCTAATTTTGTTTGCCTTGATTCAATTCCACCACAATTTTTTTTTAGCTGAAACAGTTTGCTACACTTTTTTAGAATATCCGTTAAAAGCGTGCATTGATTGCACTTAATTTTTATATTCAAATGATGATCTCAAGAGACTCAATTGCTTTTAGAATTACTTGCAATTCAGGCTCACTGTTCCCTTATAGTTACGTATTTCTTTGTTTAGCTGTTGGTTTATGACTGACATAACCCGGCCAGTACTGACTCGAAACTTTAGGGTTGCCCGCCCCGAGCGCCCATGGATCATAATCGATAATATTGTCATAGTATGGTCAGCATCTATAAAATGACAAAACAATCGTTTATAATCCATTAAAAATGGATTATAATCCTAATATTTTTTATCCCAATAAAATCCATTATAATCGATTATAATCAATTATAATGGATTTTTTCGAGGGGTTGTTCATGAAATTTACAATTTTGTTCAAAACTATCTCATTTCCTGTTTAGTGTAGTTGCTACGTGTTATGTTTCATAAAGTGTACATTTATGAAATTTTTTTAAATATTTTTTGTCTCTACTTTTTCTAATTCATCGCAGTTTAACACTTCATTTTGCCCCCCCCCCCCCCCCCCCCCCCAGCCAGTTAAGCCCCAAGTACCCAGTATACTACCACCCACCAGTTTACTACCCCCCCCACCAGTTTACCCCCTCCCACCATTTACCCCACCCCCCTCCCTCCAGTTTACCCTGCCCCTTTAAGGGGGGGTGAGTTATAACCGATGGTCTTAACTCATAGAGTAATTTCGGATAGGGTACACCGTCTGCTCGTCACGCTATCTTATTTTCGGCCGGATAGATTCGTGCAACTTCTTAGTCTAATACCGATACTAATCTTACTCTTATACTATTCTAGTCTCAGGTTGTTTAACTAGTCTCTGCTAGGCTCAATAGATCTAGGGTATACTGGTTTATTGCGGCTGCTGAAGTTCTCTTGGAGAGGCAACTAATGTCTAAGTTAAATTCAAATCTCTCTGGTGCTGAAATTACAAGTAATTTCAGCACTTACAAATAAGTGGGTTGTTAGTTAGATGGATCATGATTGGTTAATATTAAATACTTTACAGTGGTAAAATATCTAATTTATCCAATCATAAAATGTAGTTTAGATCAGGTTCCACCCATCCGGGTTTTACAGAGTTTTTTAGAATAGTTTTTCTGCAATTCAAAGGATGGATGATGGACGTTGGTATTTGGCGAACATCATATTTCTTCTGGGTTCTCCTGTTAGAGAAGTTCCAGGATCAATCGTTGTGTCTTCTTATGACAACGACTGGGTTTTCTCAACAAACTCAAATCTGATTTCAGAATGGTTTGCTATGACAGGTTTTTCTGTTTCATATAGAGAACTTCTTTTGTGTTCAACCTAGTCTGGGAATGGCGTGGAGATTGTGCGTGGAGGGGATGCCTGGTTACTCGGATCTGTACGTATACTTGAACATCGAGGTGGTCATTGGTCTAGTTCAATGAAGTCCTTTTCTGCGAAGTCAAGTCGTACTCTAAATCCTTTGAGTTGTGATTGTGGACGGCATATTGATTGTGGTTGGCCATTCTTTTTCGAGTGTAGTGGGGTCTTTTTGTCTTTGGATGTTCGTTTTTGGTGTTGTATGCTGATCTATATACTGCAAGGTATAATTTACATTTTATAAAATTTTTATTAGTTCGGTGTTTTAATTATGATTTTGGTTAGTTGTTTTCACAAAAGCTTTTTGTTTTAGTTCGGTTATTTTGAAGAGTTACTCACCCTTGAGTACCTCTTATTAAAAATAGAAGTGTGGTCACAAAGCATGGATGTAGCGCGGTGGGTTAGGCCGGCTATAGAGCATGCTCAGAACGTCCTCTCTGGTGGGTTAGGCCAGGAGTGGGAGTATGATTTCGTGCGGTTTCTGTGAGAGGTCCTGTTTTGTGATAACGTTTTATGTTGGGTTTATTGTGGTTTTTCGTATGTTTCGTTGGTTGTGTCCTTTTTTCAAAAATCAAATTGTTTTTGGTATGGGTTTGTCTTTTGACTTTTTTGTGTTTTATTATTTCTTTTTTAGACTTTATAATAGTCTTCAAAAGAATAAATTATCCAGTTTTAAACTGGGTTAATCCGGTTTGGGTACCGTTGGTTTCCTTTCCTTAGTCATGCTGTTATTCTATGATTTGTGGTGTTTAGTAAGCTGCATTGGTTAGTTTTGCTTAGTATATAATTCCTTTCCAACCGGGTTAAAGGAAAGTTTGAAACGTGTTATCGTGTGTTAGAGTTGTTGAGTGTGAAAGCTTGAAACTGAAATTCATTATTTAAACAATTCTTCGTGGGCGAGCTGTGCGAGTTTGGATAGAATTTTTGTGCGAGTGAGTGGAAATATCAAAAGGTTAGTACTGCATTTTCGTTTTATCAATTTACTACATAGAATTTCAATTTTACTGCTAGTTTTTTGGGGAAAAATTAAGTTAGAAATTTTCATCATTATTAGAATTACTGCTTTTAGGGAAATAATTTATAAATTAATTTACTACATTGGTATGATTGTTATTGAATTTATCTAGTACAAAATATTAATAGAGTTTTGAAGAATTTGATGAAGTTTTCTATTTTTTTATTTTTCTCTGTGTAATTCGTAGGTGATTGTGGGATGAAGACTAAAAATCTAAATAAGACATGGATAAAGAATGGTTTAGTTTTTATTTCAAATTTATTAGTGAAGAATATGAAAAATTATACTTACCTGTTAGTCGTCGGGGAAAAAACCGTGGGGGAAGATGTCGTGTATTATGTCGGAATTTGTTAGTAATTTTGCTAGTATGCGAATGATGTTTTTAGTTTGAAGCAGTGGCCAAAGCAATTGAAGTGCTTTAATAGTTTTTAGTTCTTCAGTGCCAACTGCAAACTCATAAGGTGTGTTTTGGATGAGATTATATAATTTGTGATTGTATTTAGTGTTGTGGATGAATTCTAATATCGGGATTTCTATAGGTTGAATAAATTCATGTGGGATAAGGAAGGGTCTGGATTCTTCTGCGTTGAAGGTCTTCGTGATGGGACAAAAAATATACATTTGGGTTATGGGATCATAATTGCGAAGAATACCGTGAAGGTTAGTATCTTTGATGCAATATGTGAAGTTAAGAAAAAATGGTGATGTGTATTTAGAGTTAATAAATTGAAAACGGTGGTGTGGTTGTCTTGATGGAGTGTGTAGATCAAAGTGATTTTGTATGAAGCGATAATATGTATATGTGTGGGTTTGTTTAGTGCGTAACATAATGTCGTGTGAGCAGTGCAAATTGCGTTCTTGTGGTGCAAGGAAATTGAAGGTTAGTGAAAATAATTGAAAACTTTCTTTAAAACTTTCGTAAGCTTGCATGTCGGTTAGTGCTTCAGAAATGACGTGGTCGAATTTGCGATCAAATATATTGAGTGTAAATACATATGGTGTTTTTATGAAGAAGTTTTCTGTGATTTGTGGGTTAGCGAAACGATCATCATCTAAAAATTGGTCTTGGTTAGCTCGGATGATGTTGTGATCGTAATATTCTAGCGTATATTCGTTAGCTCGGGGCGCAGTGTATGTTTTTAGTGACTTTTTATATCCTATATAAGTAAATTGTTTATGTGTTAGTGGTGTGGTGAGTCGATATAGCATATCTTGATTTCTTTCTATATCGATGTGAGTATTAGATAAAGGTAGGCAAAGGGGGTTAGTAAAGTGATAATATGATGTCCAATGAAGTGTAGGCATTAAAACTTGTTCATCTACAAAACTACGTGTGTCGTTAGTGTCGTTAGGGGTGTTCAAAGTATACTGTGGAAATGAAGGTAAGGTGATTGCTAAAAATTCTTTCGTGTTAGTGTGATTTGGATGATTAATATATTCACGGGCTGTTCCTGGTTTTGTTGGAAATGGATATTTTGGGAATTTTATTTTGAAAGTGCGATAAGCTCTATTAGTGCTATTTGATGATTCGGTGGATGTGGATGATGGTGCTAATGATGCGGGATAAGCTGAAGAGGGTGTAGGGGTAGGTGGGTTTGATGATTCTATTGTGGATGAAATCTGATTTATAGTGGGGTTT